TAAATGCGGTATAACGTAATTTTTGTCGATACAAACTAACGGAGAAAATAAATTTTCATCGTTAATCGGGAACAAGTGTCGTTAATGGCTGACATATTGGAATCCGATTACGACGTAGATTAGAATGATCATTAATTCGATCTATTTTCAAATATCCATTAACATTTATGTTAATCCTCGTATAACCGATACTCTTTTATCGAAAAATTACAAGATTCGAACGTTTTTTCACGGTATACGATTGTAATTTAGCAAAAACGTCTAATACACTTTCCCGCCATATTCGTGTTTTTTTTCCCGCCCGTTCGACGGTTGATTAACGACAATTATTTCTATAAAATTACACTCACCGGATTGTCTGCACGATGGAACTTCGTTAAATTCCGATTCACCGAATCGAGGAGAACAAGTTGCGACCGTTTAACGCGTATGTTCGTCAACTTTACACAACTAAATGACACAAATTAACTATCAATTAACGAGCATGTGCACCACTTCACGTCAACGAACACTTTTGAGAAAGAAAACATCAAATCAAACGGTCGTTCAATCGGCGGGCGTTTGTGTCGCCACCTGTTGGCGACGCGGCAAACTATGTTTTCACTTTGAATTATCTACCGCGAGTCATCGATTGCCGCCAAATTGAATTACCATACTTTTTCTTGTGAAAAAAACTATTTTATTTATTTACTTCGCGCAACGTTCTTTTTCTCCTTCCAAAATACATCGGAAATATTTTCATATCGTCTTTTTTACCGCGTAAAAAATTGTTCCTTGACAATTTAGAAATAAAGCCGGTAAATAAATAAAATCACAGTTTCGATTCGTCCACTGCCGAGAAGAAATGAAACTACATTATGCATAGCGCACCGTTTTGCTTGCAGCATTCTCGGGATGATAATGGCATCGTTTGAAGTGTTCGCGTAATTAATGAAGCTAAAAACTTTTGACCCTTAATTACGCTGCCTATTGTACCTGGAGAGTTCTTTCTTTCTACGGACTACTATGAGAATACGAATAAAGAATACGGGCCATAACTGCAATCAACGAATGTCTCAAGGAATAAATTATATAGGTACGTCCAATCATTGTTTTTGATGCCTCCGACAACCTACCATCTTCCATACAATTTTTCGATTTAAAAAAACCAAAAAAAAATGAAAAAACTCGATATTCCCCGACAGGAAGTAAAATCCCTCCTTTTTTTTTTCTTTTTTAAAACAATAGCCAAAAATTCCGCAGTATCTCACAATATCCATTGTCTATCTTCGGTTGAGAAGCGGTTATTGGAGGGGCCATTCGTATAGACTGGTGCATAAATGATCCAGCCTCCGTGTTATTTCGGTAAATACTGTCTTCTGCACCCTATTGTTTTTAGCATCGAATATTTATGTGGAACGGATCGCGGTCGAATGCAAGTGAAAAGTGTAACATTCCATTTCTATCCTGGACAACGTGCAGCTGCCCTCTTTTCTCGATGATCCATTCAGAAACGCGTATTGACAACCAATATATCGCGTTACTCTTTCGCGCATCGCATTAAACCGTACCCCACTCGACAATGAAACAATTAACGTTGCTCGTGTAACATTAACGTCCATCAATATCCCCCTGATTGTTGGTATAAATAACGTGCTTGTACGCGACAATAAAACCCCGGCCGGACAGAAATGAACGCGGCTGAAAACCAACGATCGATCGGTAGGAGACCGTTCCACTTTTCGACTTCGCCCGAAGAATCTCGCCGGATAAGAGGGGAAACGGCCTGTATCCTCCGGTACATAGTCGAGAATTTTTACAGCTAAATTTCAAGGATAATCAGTATCGTGGATCGTTATCTCCAATTACCCATTACTCGCGGTAATTGTGTTAATAGGACAGAGAGAAGGAGCACGGAGGGCCGAGGCCCACGAGAATCGCCAACCTATTCCCTCCCTGAAAATTATACCCTTCTGCTTGAAACGTTTATGAACCAACTTCGTACCTGCTGTGCCTTCCACCGTGTATACCTAATCCTTGTTAATCCTTCTTCGCCTGAAACTCGTTGGCGTTGTCCTTTGTTTAAATGACGAATCTGGGAATATCTTTCCCCCAATAGCGTAAACTTTCCCAAATACGTAGAACGTTAGCGAAGATCG